TATGCTAGTGTTATTTTACCACCCAGAGTGGGGGTCAACACCTTCTGGTGATTAGGAAATTCATTTATTACTCACAGGTGGTGGAGAAGAACCTGTTGGATCATTGTGACACCCTCCAATGGGACTCTCCTTCATTTACATTCTTTTGGACTTCACTATACACTGTACTAGATTCACTGTTACATGTGGTGTTGGGAGAGCATATATTTTATATAACAGGCATATTGAAGCCTGTTTAATACATCAGGGACTGCATCCAAATAGATTCTGAATGAAATGTTAAGCGTTTTTGGACAAAATTGTGACAATGAGGTCAAGAAATGTTTTTGTCTACATTCATTCTAAAATTGTTCTGTTTTGGTTTGGCGATTCTTCCCTGCGTATCACATGTAGTTTGCTTGAACACCAAAGTATTTTTGATGTGATTTTCCATTTCTCTCTCTCTCTCCTCCCTCCTCATTGGATAGATTCTCTACCCATTGGACTCTATCTACTTCATAATTGCATCGCACTCCCTCACAAACGCACAGGCCACTTTTTCAAAAAAGCATTCACAATTGCATATACAGTATGTTAACCCAGGGCTTAGGAACTTTTGTACAAATGTTCATAAAAAAAAATTCTACTAGTTTGTGGCCAGTTTAGGTAGCATATCTAGAAAAAGCCCTCATTAGCCCTGTGTTTTTCTTTTCCTCTCTTTTTCTTCCACCCCTTCCTTCTACATCAATTAAACCACTAATATCTTGGTGAGCATCGGACTTGCTTGCGTGTCTGGCAAACACCCCTTTCAAGGGATATAGAAATATTTGACCATCTACCTTTATGTAAGCTATGTAATTCGCTGTTTATATACGTTATTTTGATTATATGTACTAATACTGTCTGATGTAGACCATCTTCTCATTGTGTCAATTCCTGATGTAAACATAATTTATAAAATAGTGTAGCTGAACAGTGTGGATTTATAAACGTCTTCTATTTCCTTACACTTTACTCACATTGAGTCAAAGTTTATATCAGTGGTTCTCAACCTGTGGAACCTCAGGACCCACATTTGTCCTTGGTCATTAAGTTGCGACCCAAAAAGAATTTAATTTCCGAAACATTATCCCTTATTCCACAAAACAACTTGGGCAGTATTCTGCAATGTACATGCACTTTTGAAACAGTAAACAAACGGCTTCTTTCCAAAATGGATAGTGCAGTAATCACAGCGCTAGTAAAAATGAAAGTCAAGGCCGTCTTAACATTTATATTAGTGCGGCCAGCGGTTTTTATTAAGCTATGTTGTCAGGGCATCCGACATTTTATTGGGGAATTAGAGAGGCCTGGGGGGCCCCTGGTCGTGACCCACTACTTGAGAAACATGGCTCTATATGCTGCTTTTACCTGTACACCAGCAGTAACAATGTTGCTGTTACACTCCCTGCTAACATTCTTATTTTACCTCTTTGGACAAATAGTACTGCAAAAAGAGGTCAGTGCAGTATTGGTTTCTTCACCTTTCTTTCTCTCTGGTTTATTAAAAGTGCCTTTTGACTTCTACAATTTTTTTGTAAATACTTCTCTCCGAAATGAGAAGTAATTCAATAATCAATACAACTGTAGTATATATAAACTGATTCAGGAGTTGGATAAATAGTTCATTCAATGCTTCCCTTTTAGCAGGAAAGTTACACATTCAGTATGAGAAACAGTCATAGATATATATTGTTGCATACAGAACATGGTAATAAAAAGGTGTGTGTGTGTGTTTTCAGGAAAACCAGTCCGCATATTTTGAATTGTATGAAATTATTCAATTTTAAGTATCTGTGGAGCTTTCTCTGTGACAACCCCAAACATCCTCTTCGCTCAACCAGACATACATTCCAGAGACACAATTTCATGCTCCATGCATTGAGATCAAAAGGAATGTACAAAGCCATTTAATACTTACACACTCAGTTGTTATATGCATGAACTCATAAACTAATTATTTACTCATTGTAACGTAGCATTTTACTTCTTCGGGGCTTAACCATGAGTATTTAATTGCACGACAATGTCATGCCAATTGTTTCTAATAAACTGTCGCTCTATACATGTTTTCAAGCAGGGCTGGGTTTTCAGTACATCGAAAAGAGTTGTGCTTCAGGGTGCTATTATTCGAGGAAAGAGAATATATTCTTGCTGTACTGCTCAATTGTGAGATGGGGATTTACCATACTGAAGGTTAAGTAGTTTAAGATAATCCTGCGTAAACTAATAGATGCTCTTCCCTTGGATTGGCATCTGGAGCTGTCAGTTTTTATTACTGACTTGCAATCTATGAGGATTAGAGGAGAAACATTACATACGTCTATCACTAGCTTTCTTGAAGAATTGTGTTACTTAAAGCAGGGAGCGCATGATAAGGTCAGCTTTGTCTGCTGCATTAGTGTCTGTATTATAATAAAATCACAGCACTTAATCTTTACTTCTTGTTAAGAAATCTGCATGGTATAGACATGATTCTATGCATTTTTGTGTGTTTTAGGTCTTCTGTACACCATGCCCAACAACTGCCAAACATGGTGGACCTGTACTCAAAAAGTGAATATTTTCTGTCCTTGAAAGGAGTAGGCATAGTAGTTCATTTTGCCTATGCTGTACCCTGAAAAATCCACACAATGCTACATCTTGCTTTGAGTTTCCTATTGAAAATAGGTTTACTTCCCAGGATTTGACAATGCTTGGGCACTGCTGTTCCTGTAGCCTCATAGTTGTACCACCAGCCCCTCCCTCTTAGATTGTAAGCTCCAAGGAGCAGGGCCCTCCTATCCCTCTTGTATTGAACTGTATTGTCTCCTGTTATATTGTAAAGCGCTGAGCAAACTGTTGGTGCTATAGAAATCCTTTATAATAAAAATAGTGGCATATCTGCTGCAAGAGGTCCTGCTGCTCGCTCTTGCCTCTGATGACTGTTATTCTAACATGATTGGCAGTGAGATTTGATTATGCCACTACTGTAGTGCTCTTTGTAATTCTGAGGGCCTGCTGAAAAGGAAGCTGTATTTTTGTATCTATAGTGGCTGTATACTGTATCTCTGCTTAATTATACAGTATATAATGTACAAGACCCCAGGGATACTCTCTCCTGGAGAGTAGATGTGTCACTGTTTGGGTTGTGGTCCCTTTAAGGGGATTGAGAAGTGAAGCAATTTTGAGTACTCAGGATGAACCCACAGTGAGAGGACCTGATAAGGACAGGAACAGACAGAAGGTCAATGAGGTGTTGTGTGAAGCAAGACACAGTATGAGTGGCCTGTGAATTGTTTGTTCTACTGAGACCTTTTCTGGACCCCTGAAGCAAGCAGGAAGTTTAAGATCTGGTTCACACTAATGCAGTGCGGAAAAATGCAGTGAATCCTCTGCGATTCCCACACCACATTGCAATTGCACAGTGTCCATGCGATCTGGTGCAGGTTTCAATGTTAAATTAACGACACCCGGAAACAGAACACAAAACAAAGTGCGATTGCCAGAATTTACATCGCATAGGTATGAACACCCATGCGATGTGAATTGGGTGCGGGGAAGAAAGGGTCCTGCACCTTTTTTGAATGCGGATGCAATGCGATTTGAGCCATTCAATATGTATGGTTCAGATCACACCATACAGACACGGCATGTGATTTGCACAGGAATGCGATGTGATTCCTGTGCAAATTACATGCGGTGTCCTGCACCGCATAAGTGCTATCCTAGACTAAATCTTGTGAAACAAGCGTATATGCCAGTCAAACAAAACCTTATTTTGTACCAGAGTTATGGACTGTTAGTTTATGCTGAAGATGAGCTGTTTTGTTTGCTTTTTTTTTTTTTGAAGATACACTATATTGCCAAAAGTATTGGGACGCCTGCCTTTACACACCTATGTAATAGTATCCCAGTCCTAGTCCGTAGGGTTCAATATTGAGTTAGCCCACCCTTTTGCAGCTATAACAGCTTCAACTCTTCTGGGAAGGCTGTCCACAAGGTTTAGGAGTGTGTCTATGGGAATGTTTGACCATTCTTCCAGAAGTGCATTTGTGAGGTCAGGCACTGTCATTAGAGTCGGACCAGAAGGCCTGGCTCAGTGTCTCCACTCTAATTAATCCCAAAGGTGTTCTATCGGGTTGAGGTCAGGACTCTGTGTCAACTTCCTCCACACCAAACTCACTCATCCATGTGTTTATGGACATTGCTTTGTGCACTGTTGCATAGTCATGGTGGAACAGGAAATGGTCATCCCCCAACTGTTTCCACAAAGTTGGGAGCATGAAATTGTCCAAAGTGTCTTGCTATGCTGACACCTTAAGACTTTCCTTCACTGGAACTAAGGGGCCAAGTCTAAATCCACACCATAATGCCCCCTCCACCAAAAACTTTACACTTGGCACATTAAGGAGAGTACCGTTCTCCTGGCAACTTTCAAACCCAGACAAGTCCATCGGATTGCCAGACAGAGAAGCCTGATTTGTCATTCCAGAGAACACGTCTCCACTGCTTTAGAGTCCAGTGGCAGCGTGCTTTACACCACTGCATCTGACTCTTTGTATTGCACATGGTGATGTAAGGCTTGGATGCAACTGCTCGGCCATGGAATCCCATTCCATGAAGTTCTCTACGCACTGTTGTTGTGCATTCTGAAGGCCACACAAAGTTTAGAGGTCTTTAGCTATTGACTCTACAGACAGTTGGCGACTTCTGCGCACTGTGCGCTTCAGCATGCACTGACCCCGCTCTGTCATTTTACGGCCTACGTGGCTGTTGTTCCCAGCTGCTTCCACTTTGTTATAATACCACTAAGAGTTGACCGTGGAATATGTAGTAGCAAAGAAATGTCATGGATGGACTTATCACACAGGTGGCAACCTATCACTGTACCACACTTGAATTCACTAAGGTCCTGCGAGCGATCCATGCTTAAACAAATGTCTGTAGAAGCAGGCTGCATGCCTAGGTGCTTGATTTTATACATCTGTGGCCATGGAGATGATTGGAACACCTGAATCCAATGATTTGGAGGGGTGGCCCAATACTTTTGGAAATATAGTGTACAAAGACTGTTTGTTTTACCAAGATATTGCTGGCTAGTAGTGTGAACCCCCAAGAATCACAATATAGGATATATAAAGCTCTTCTGCTGCCACCACTTCTTTCCCCCACCAGTCAGAGGGTAGTTCTGTCATGAAAGCCAAGCCTTTTTTTTTTCAAAGCAGACACCCTAGTGAATAAAATGGTGGGTACTAAAATTTTTTATGGCACATAGTACTCGCGCAGCGATTTTTCAAAAGGAATTTTTTTTAAAAAATACACATTTTTACTTTTAATGCACAAAAACACAATATATTGGCCAATTATTTGGTAAGATATAAAAGATGATGGTATGCCGAGTAAATAGATACCAAACCTGACATGCTTTAAAACTGCGCATGCCCCGTGCAATGGTGACAAACTGCATACATTTTTAATATCCATAGGCAACGCTTTAAAAGCTACCATTTTAGATTTGCAGAGGAGGTCTAGTGTTAGAATTACCGCCCTTGATCTGACGTTCACGGCAATACCTCACATGTTATGGTGCAACTGCTGTTTACATACCGGCACAGGGTCAACGCTTGTGCACACAGGTGTGTGTGCATGGGAGGGGCGAGTTTTTTTTTTTTTTTTTTAAGTTTAGTTTTTAATTATTTTTACACTGTACCTTTCATTTTTTTTTATCACTTTTAATGCTATCACAGGGAATGCAAATATCCCCTATAACTTCAATGGGCATTGTCATATATTCTTTTTTGAGAAATCTGGGGTCTCTCAGACTCTAGATATCTCCTCTGCCCTTACATTATCTAATCAAACCAAGATCGGTGTGATCAGATGCTTTGCCAATTTACAAATGGCGCTGTTTATATCCTGCGAAACTGAAGTGATGAAATGCTTGTAGCTTCCGAATTCTTAGACTATAGAATAAAAATTGTCCACGTATAAGTGGTACCCCATATGGAAAAAGGATGACACCAAGTCCCAAACTATCTTGCCACTACTCCCCATGTAGTCTGGGCATCCAGGGGGCTCCACGGAGCCATCTATTCCCTCATAAATCCGAAACTTATAAGTTTAGCCTGTTGTCCTCTCACAGGTCTTCTACATCTTGACCCCATATCTGGCACGCTTGCTGGGGAGAAAATGTTTGAATGCAAGGCGGCCAGAAAAATTAATCAGGGACTCATCAACGCAGATGTTTTGATGGGGAGTATAGACATCTGCAAATATTTGGTTAAGGTGATTTGCGAGGGGCTGAATTTTGTGGAACCGGTCAAATTCAGGGTCACCCTGAGGATGACAGAGTGTATTGTATTGTCATTGAAATGCATAAACCACATTATACTCTCATATATATGCCTGGCCATGGCAGCAGAGAACACGGGCATATGATGAATCGGGTCTGCGGACCAATACAACCGCAATTCATTTCTTTTAGTAATGCCCATGTTGAGGGTTAGGCTCAAAAAAAAAATAAATAATAAAAAAAAAAAAAATAAAAAAAAAAAATATTTAAATTCGGAAACCGTAATGAGTTTCCCATGCGAATGGTCTGGCAAGGTTTGAATTTGGGTTGGCGGCGATAAATTGTGCATATAAATTGCTTTGATCCACAATCAACGCATACAGATATTCCGTGAAAAACAGCTCCAAAAATCAAGGAGGTATGTGAAAGACCAAGATGTACTAGACCGCTGGTACTCGCCAGTTCACCAAAAGGCTGCCACAATCGGCGGGAGGGGTAGGGCGGGCGCGCGCGCCTCCTACCTTTTTTGCAAAATGACGTTTTAAAACGTGATTTTGCTCAGCGGTGCCACCTTGTGGCCGTTTTTCTACAGTGGCTGGACGGCAAGTAGTTAAACCTTATGCTGCTAACACTACTAAATAGATAGGAACGCATATCCTATTTACTTACTTTAAACTATTTTTTTAGGTTTCTTGCCTAGGAAACTGATGTCATACATCCCAGGAGTCTTCTGGAGGGGGAGAGTGGTTTTCTCAGCTAAGCACACTCTCCTGCTTTGTATGTGTGACCTAAGGGTAGATGGATTGTGGAAAGTCAATGCTACATGAATCTGCCCTTACTCAAGATGGCCACGGCCAGAAATGCTAGAGGGGTGTTTTTCAAAGTGATTTCTCAGCAAAAGAAAGCATGGAGACATGGATGGGGGGTGTACTTTGAATATTAAAAATGAATTAAATTGCATTTTTGCTTTGTGGTGCTTAGATGCAATGCAGTTCTGCTTTAAATAAGTCCTCAGCAAAAGATCAGCTGCAGGGCACAAACAAGGGCAATACTAGTGGCTGCCCTCCTTTTTTTAAACACTGCCTCAACTGTTGTCTTGTAGTCCTGGATACAGTTTGATATTTTCAAATACGCAGTATATGTCCTCTGTTCTTGTTGTGGCTCCTTTGGTTTCATCACTAAACGTAAAAACCTATCACTCATAATTAGGGATGCACCAATATCGGTGACTATACCAAGTATTTTCATAAAGTACTCCTGAAAAAAATGGGCTGCTTCAGATTGGGCACCAAACTGATACTTTGCAGTGTGATTTGAAACTCACCTGGGTCACGTGTGTGGGCACGGTGCTGACCAAACTCAATTACGTTCATTTAGCCTTGTACTGTCATTCCTGCAAGGAGAGGAGAGAAAGAAAGCCGCAGGGATTTAAAACCTGCGATTTTCTCTCCTCTTCTAGAGCTGAGAATCTAGAGCACTGCCGCTGCTTTCTTTGCTCCTCTCCTTCCTTGGAAGAAGTCACGTGATGTAAAGATTGCAACGAGTGGGCCAATGACGTCAAACTGCTAAAACAGGAAGTTTACGAGCCGCCATCTTGGAAGTTCCTGAACACATTGAAATTTAAATGACATTAACGCAAGGTTTTTTACTGTGGTGTCCCAGCAGGAGACACTTTTAAATGTGACTACAGTTTGCAAAAATGGTACTTGAGTAAGCCAAAAGCCTTCTGGGAAAACGTCTTGTGGACAAGAGACCAAGATAGAGCTTAAAGCACATCATTCTACTGTTTACCGAAAACGGACGCCTATAAAGAATATAGTACACTACGGCAAGCATTTCTGTTTACATATGTGGAGGCTATGTGGGATAAAGAGGAGACTGGACTGTTTTCAGCAGAGTGAGGAGGAAAGGAGTCATCCATGCAGTATACCTACCCGGGTTAAAAAGGGAAAGACAGTATTTGACCTATGCAATTTGGGTCATAAAAGGAGGTGAGAAATTGCTGTATATATGTAAAAGGTGTCTCAGGTGGAGGAGCACCTATTTGCAGGAAGAGTATATTCCGGGTGGATAAAAGAAGCTTATTTTTGGTATAGGAGAGCGACCTGATTTCAGTTGTTTTAATTCCAAAGGGTGAAGCAACCAAATATTAAGTTGGATCAAGGTGCCAATAAATTTTGGTCCACATTTTTGGGGTTTTGTTGTATTTAGTGTTTTTTTCCTCATTTGTTGCATATCATAATAAACATGGTTTGGATGCTTTTATTCATATATAAGGTTATAGAGATATATGCCAACAATTTCGGCCATGACTATTTTATGCGCATAAACTATTTTATGATATAGCTTATCTAGTATTTGTTTTAGCAGTTCTCCAATTCTGTCCTGATCACTATTGATTCGCAGCTAAAAAGCCAATGTCAGCAGTCTCTTGCGTACTGCCTCTCGATCCCTCCTCTTCAACTCCAATCCAAATACAGGCAAATATGTTCTGATAAACAGTCTGAAATGTACATCTCAACACAGCAGATCCCCTACACTGGAGTCGCCACACATTTTTTATGTTATTGTCAAATTGTAATTACTGAATAACTTCCTCAGAGTATGTTATAGAGAGTCCATATAGTAATAAATCACATTGATTAGATGCGACAGCCCCCTATCCATAGACCATTGGAAATGCTTTACCAGGACAGCTGTATTTGGATTGCATGGATTATTATTGTGGACTAACAACTATCTCATACAGGCCACAGTGAAGGTCTCTTGAGCCACGTTCGGTATTGTGGGGTTAGAACCAGGACTTTCTATTTTGAGGTGCAGTAGATGGACTGTTCTGGGTATAAGGTTGAAGGAAAACAATTAAGCTTTCTTCAGATAAAGCATTATGAATAACAGTTTGAGTATAATATTTGATTAGTAAACATGAGTAACATGTTTATGTATATAAACTAATTTAATAGAAAAGTAGGTTATTCTCTGAATGCGTGTCTGTTTGGAACTTAAGCAAAAAGATTTTCCTTTCGTAATACCCAGCTCTGCCATTTGTACATAGCACAACTCAGAAAATGCTGCTAGAAGATGAGAAGAGCACACAACTGTTGATCACAGTGGTGATCAAGTAGGACCTCAAGTAAGGCCCCCAACTTCATCAAAGGGTCACACATAATAATCAGTGAATGTAACAAAATGCTGTGAGAGACTGATGACATTCAACTGAAGAAAGTCAGAAACTGCAAACATGCTATAAGAGGTTTTGGAGACAGAGGACATGCTTCGGGTGAACTAGAGACATATTACATGAGAATGATAGGAAATTGTTGCTTTTACCGCCCCTTTACAAGTCAACACTTACAGCACCTCTTAAAATGATGTGCCACACTTTATTTTCTCTTATGCCCCTTTCACATAGATGTTCAATCACATCCATTTTTGGATGAAAAACAGACTGCATCTCTATAGGGTACCATATTTAAATCAATGAGCATCCATTTCCGTTTTAGGTCAGTTTTTTTTTTCGTTTCCATCCTGTTCCGTTTAAATGGATGCTGTCCCTTTTCACATCCGTTTCTGCATCTTCAGAGGACTCATCCCAGATGTCAGCCAGCAGGGATGAGTCATTAGCTGTTACGTAGCTGGAACCCACTGGTATCCAAAAACCAATGACTCTTCCCTGCTGTCAGATAGGGGATTCCCGACTGACTGCAGAATAAAATGGAGCTGTCAGTAAAGAACTCCCCCA